TCTTACTTAAGTTCTCGTCTTAACTATACGATATCATCCATACTGTTTTACAAAGTCTGATTCTGAAGATGAATGTCACTCTTAATGATGCATTACCCGTGCGGCTATTGTCAACAAAACTAATCCCTTCAAAAGCCTACGAAGTGACAAACAGCATACCAATTTCGTCACCGATTGTACGAAAAACTTGCTAATATTTTTGTTGAAAGCATTAATCGAATTCTACTTACACGCTTTGCTGTTTATGCAGACAATTTTTCCTCGTCAACAAGCGTCGTTTATGTACAAACTAACGCATAATAAAGGTGAGGAAATGCATTGACCTTTTTCTACAGGTTTAACGCGTATGCGCTCTAATTATTTGTCATTAAAATAGATGTCGACGATGACGAGATCATGAATAGACCTAGCACACAGATTCACTGTCTCGTGGAGTATCGTACGCTGAAAGATGGTAGATATGTCATTGATCACGTGTTAAAATTTTATATAATCTATTAAATCTGTCATTCGCTCTGATACAACAGAAATCCAACATTTTGCAAAAGAGAAACTCCACGATGTTCTGAAATCATACAACATGTCCCAGCATTCTGACTCTGTTTTTGAAAACATCAGAGAGCGGTTTCTAGAACTGCTTGATTACCATTCTTATGGTATTAGGGATATACTTGATCTTGGTGAACTAGATATAGTTGGCTGTGAACAACTTTTTCAAAATCATGGCGATGTCAAAGGAGAATTGGTTAATGCCGTAAGGGAATTCTGGGAGGTGAGCTTTTTGGTATTTTGAGCATGTGTATTTTGGAGGATGTTAATTGATGGAATATATTATAATTGTCAGAAATACAACAAAATTACCTTTGAAGAGGTTCAAGATAACGGCAAAAATTTGAAATCGGTGATATCATTTCCTATTGATGTGCCATTATCTAAGGTATATATGCTGTGAAAGTCAGATGGAATATGCTTGAGAATCAGACTTTAATGAATACTTGTACTTCAATTTAAGATTCTTAATACGGTCGAACTTGTTATACCGAATTCCAAACATCTGGTTGTTGGTGAACCATGTCACTGCGTGCTGGTAGTGCGACAGTCACCATATTGGAATCATAAACAACAGACGGAAGCAATCGAATTTTATTATGATGTAAATGTTGACTTTGACAATTGGCTACTTTCGGGGCAGAAGAAATTCTGTTTCTCATACAAGGTAGGACGGGCAGGCGATGCATAGGACGTTCTTTGATGGAGGCGAATTGTCGAATCATTATCTTGCATTTTGACGACATTCAATTATTGACCGGCACGTTATTTGTATACTCCGTATAATAGATGGATGAGACTAGAGAATTCCCAATAACACTTATCCCGCTTAAAACTGGCCGGCTACTGGTTCCCTTTATTCGCGTTGCTAGCATCTCATCAAGCATCTTTTCAGAATCAGTCTATATCAATAACGCACAACAAGTCTTAGTAAGGCCAAGGACACAGTCGGCAACATTCTTTATTGAGCAACAACATCGCATCCATCCAATGGGCCCCGCTACTGGGCTTATGTCGGGTCACCATGGTGGTATGATGGACGAGATCGCAATGTGAAATGTTGTTCCAGAAACAAAAAAGCTACTATAAAACGAAGGACTTTTAATACGAGTAATAATATAATGGATTTTTACAATAATTGATAGAAGCATATCTGTTCTCTAAATAGATTATTTATTAGTTGCAAGTGAGTGTAATTATTTTCTCAAGACGAGTATATAATCTATTCGTATACTGTGAGAGTGTACGGTTTTATTCATCAACTAAATCACGTGATTTAAGATGCCTACTTCTAAATGACACTATCATAAATTGTAATCTCTCTTGACAATCGTGTCAAATTCTTTATCAACAACATAATGCCTCATGTAATCTCTTTCCACAATATGCATTCTGCTGCCAACTATTACAAGAGAATGTAACGGTGGACCAAAGTCTTCATTCAGTAGATGCTGTAACGAACCGACTTTGATAACTTGATCCGCAGAAGACCCGACATGTGCTAGTCCTATGGCAAGCGTGAATGGTGTGTAAGCTAGAGTAATTATATAATAAAAGATGGTTAGTTAGTCACCTGAAATAGATTTTGAGATGGAACGTTTACCGAAAAAACAATATACAAGTACCATTTTCTTGTCGAGATTCCTCTATTTCAAGAAGCTGATGAATTGCCTGATTTATCGTCATGTACCGTGGTGGTTCATATATATTCCGTCCTCTATAAGACAGATTTTAGAAATAATAATCTATGTTGCACAAACCATAATGAGCATCATGTGCAATCATATTATTTGAATAGTAACCTTGCCAGATTCTCAATACTCTGTTCCTTAACCTTGATGTCTAAACATTGTGGAGACAAATCAGTACCATTCTCGTTTACGGGGACATACACATTTCTTTAAAGTTAACAAATATGTTCCATGGACTGTCGCAGACTTACCTAATAAACACAATGTGTGTAGCCCAATAGTTCTGTTCTCTTTTATTCGATCATAGAAACTATCCGGTCTCCATGTATCCGTAAAAAATGGTATCGATATTGTCTGTCCAAAATTGTATAGCTGCAAACCACAGACCCCAACAGCATTCAATATTGATGTGTTATGTATGATAGTCACAGGAATTCCCATCTCCCTTGCACGTAGAATAAGATCTGTATGTGTAGTCGCACTGTTGTTAAAATAAAAAAAGATTAAATATAGGAAAGGGATTCTATAGAATAACTGGCTTGATTTTTTACCCAAATGGATCTCCAACAACCAGGAATGCAACATTGACTTTATCTGCTCCCTGCAAAATGACTGCAGAATCGGATTCTACTAGCTCGCGATCCGCAAGCTGTATTTCACGATCATAGAAAGATTCCTAAAGTTGTTGCAATTTTAATTAACTAGTGTTTGATTTAGCGCTATCCAGAGAATTTTCATTTCATTCTTTTTATAGGTGGATCCCCTACTAATTTCTCCTTTGAGGCGAGAAGTATACTCGTGTATGCTTCCAGATATACTCGCTCACATGACTTGAGAGCGTTAAGGCCTTTTACTGTGATATCTGTTTCGTCCGATAATCCTAGTCCGATTATGTACAGCATAATTCTTTTGGTAAACCCAGTACAGTCCTGCCTTATTATTATTATATAAATTATCACATGATTACTAAAATTACGTATTATCACCTGATCAGCATATATTAATAGTTAACATCAATACTAAACGTAATTTGATCCCGGTTAAATTTTCCGGAAATGATAAAATCTTATTCCGTAAATGAACGGGGAAGATGAATTTACGAAATTTTCACACTAAATCTATTGTCATAAGAACGCGAACCTCCCCCTCTTTTCTCTTTTTACTGTCGAAGCTAGACGAAGGCTTTGAGTTTTCTGTTTCATGTGATGCAGTATCGCTTCTGAATGTAGAAATGCGATAGACGAAAAACTCGTCAAGACCAAAGTTAAGTGGTAATACTAAATTATTCTTAAGGTTGATAGTCTTCCCACAAAAAGAATCATTCTACCGACACTAACCATCATTGCACATCTGTTCGTCATCTTATCGCACTAAACTAATCTGCATCAAAATCATAATTTGCATAGTAAAAGACCATCGGTATTGAAACCAGAGCATTGTCCAAGAGCTACAAATGGTCCCAAAGACGTCTTTTGCGAGACGGAAACAACAGATAAAGACATCTTATAAATAGTCATTACCAATTTAGTCTATATGTTAATTGACGTATGGTTAAATATTCCAAAGAATGATGCCGATACATATTGTTATCAATTAGTATTGATGATGCGAATCATGTCCCAAAATGGATAATAAATAGTATACTAGATGATATTTGCATCCTTGATGTAAGCGATAGTGACAAATCCGTGTTTAGTCAGCAAAAAAAATTTTTTTTATAAACACCATCAAATGCGAAAAGGGGTGACTTACTCTACTTGGCAAGACAATCTGAAAGAACTACGCGCAAATATATATAGTGACAAGGGGAAAGGCGGTGGCTTCTTAGCCTTCACATAGTAAAAAAACCATCAAAATGTCATCAAACTCGTACAACCCCTATCCCTCATATTCGGAACTCGAACAAACGTTGCCCACCTCGACTTCCCCAAAGATGTCCCAGGACGAACTTGATGCTGAATTGGAGTTTTGGATCAGGACCCAATTCACTTATGACATGGCGGCACCGATGGGATTGCTCGAGGATGATTATGCTTACGAGCCAAAGGAAACGAAAGTAGAAACTGAAAACAGAGAAGCTACTACTAACTATACTGAATATAGCTTACTGAAACCGTATTTAGACTCTTCGTCTTCGATGAACGGAATTTTCCCCCATCCAACTGCAAGCCGAGTGGCAGATATGCCGCGAACTACTTCGCCACCAAGCACTCCGATTGCGTCTGCGTCGACCACAAATTACCTTCCCATTTGTCCAGCTCCAGCAGTAGCTGGGACAACCGGTGTGGAAGTTGGAGACATGGTCATGCAGGGGCAAGTAATGACTGGAGCAAACAATTTGTCCACTCGAGTCTCTAATGCATCTCGCAAGAACTCCGGATCCAAAGCCGTATCTGATTCCAGAAAGTTATCCATTGCTTCCAAGTCCTCCGACGACCAAAACGTGCTTCCTCAACAGTCACAACAACAAACCGATCCGGAACTTTCTGCGAAACTTGCCGCTGAGGAAGACAAACGTCGCAGGAATACTGCTGCATCAGCTCGATTCCGCATAAAGAAGAAGATGAGAGAACAAGCATTAGAACGTACAGCACGTGAAATGACGGCTAAAGTCGAAGCTCTGGAAACTAAATTGCGTGAATTAGAGTTGGAAAACAAGTGGTTACGAAGCTTGGTTGTAGAGAAAGATCCGCGATTATTGGACGTAGAGAGACCGGGAAAGCGCAGAAAGTCAAGCGAAGATAACGATGAATCCACATCTACTGCCTCCGCTTAGCAGTCGGATGGAAAAAACCAAGGGCGAAAACTCGAACATACGAATGCTTTTGATACAAGCTTTATATAATCCTCTAAAACATTGGTCAAGCACAACAACCTTTAAGAATTGAATTCTTAATTTGTATCCGGATATTTTCTCGTGTTTTAGTCAATGTTTTCATAATCAATGATGATAGAGTGTGGTTTTCACTGTATATACACATAATTTGTTAATTTTCTTCTTATTGTTCCTTTGAGACTAATTCCGGATTACAAGTTTACGACATATTTTACATATTGTTAAATTGCGATGATTACGATACACCATCGTTAGATCTAAGGAATCAAAAACGAAATCAACATATGATTTTCGAGAACAGCGTGCTCTCGACTCTAAACGAAATAAACATAAATGGATGATGAAATACAGACATACGAAATGCTGCCATCAGTTGAGGATTAGATAATGTCGTGTTATTGTTGGTAGTTGATTGTGAGAACTACCGCGCTGGCCAGTACTGTATTCCGATTAGTAAATCCAGTTTGTGATGCCCCGATATCTTGATGAATTGCTGTATCAGTATGTAAAGAGTATTTTGTCTGACACGTGAATACCCATTAGTATCATAACTATGGTCAAATGATCGATTATAACAAATGGACTAATTTAGACTAGTACATAATAAAGTGTCGGAATTGTTGATTATAACGTTACCGTGCATGTGCATCCCCCACAATAACCCCCACCGCGTGCGCATTACTAAATATGCAAATTATTAAAGCTGATCGTGATCCACAAGCGAATAGATAAAAACGGTATGCGTTATTATTATGCACAAGACGAATGAAGCCTTGCATTCTCCTTACCTGTCATGCTAAAAAGGCTTCACCAAATTAACAAATTTCTCCTAATTTTATTATTATATTAACACGCAATTCAGTAACATCCATATTCCATATTACTGCTGACTGCGGTTAGTGGATTTTTATCTCGCTAGTCTTGCTATATTATATTACGGGGCTTTATAGATTCTTAGAAATGACTGTTCTATCGTGAATACACTAGTACAGGTATTTAAATAGCTCTGTCTGATTACTTTACATATGAAAACTAGTGTTAATCATACGATTTAATCGAACAAACAGGTGCAAAATGAAATTAATTTCATGTATTTATTTGATTTTGAGTTAGAGAATGTTATAAACTATTTTTATCACAAACCAGTATTACTCATCCACAACAGGTTCCTTATTTGCTTTTCTATCTTTTTCTTTTTTGCAATTGACATAATTTACATTCATGCACGCGTTGGAATTCGAGGAACAAAATGTAATATAATGGTCAAACCATGTGACTATGCTGAATGAGACTTGAATTGTTGTATTTTGTCTTTTACTATGTCAGAATAACAGAAAGTATTATTATTATAAGTAGCTTATACTTCAAATCACATACGCGTTACATGTGTAACTTTTATAAAACAGAGTATAAATAGTTACGCGTTCATATTAAGGCTGATAACAAAGCTCAGTGATAGTGAGTTTGTGATTACGTCATTATTCAGATTGGTTGATGCAGATGTAACTTTTGGACTTATCTTGCAATGATAATTGAAAAAAAAATTTTGTTTATTATTATTTGTCCAAGTGACGCAGCTTTGTGACGAGTTGTGATTGCGTCGTCATTGCCCGCTGCGGAGTAGTCTGCGGAGATAATTGAAAAAAATTTGCTATTTGACCAAGGAAGACATTGACATCCTTATTTGGAGACACCCCAAAGGTTATCAGTTGTTCGATACCCCTTATTTAGTCTAACAAAAAAGCCGATCAACTGAAAACTAAGTGAATTTAGTACCCTTGCAGGAGTGAAAGAAGTAACCAGTTATCTCATTATTGATTTGAAAATGATTATTGTGTATAATTGACAAGTTTTCAATTTTAAAGAATGTTGGCGAGAATGATGGATCTGTCGCACGTTTCTGATTTTCCATACCTCCTTCTCATTTTTGCATTTGCTAGTAAATAACGAACTGTGTCGCTTTTCTTTAATTTTGTTCAAATATTTTGTAGATTTAATAGCTTTTACAGGCGCTAACCCCCATCTATTTGATTCTGAAATCCGAATAAGACGTGTTGGGTAATTATTCAACAATTCTGGCAAATGTCTAACCCACGCTCTTATTTAAATATGATTTGATGTTATAATATGCACTAATACCGAATTGTGACATTAACAATCGAGTAGTTTTAGCCATAAATTTCCGTCCTCCATCACATTGCAAAAGGGTTGGATAAGTAAGCGGGTTATTGGATTATCATAAACCTTTTTAAATGATTTAGCAAACTCTGAACTATTCTTGGACAAGTAAGAGGATAACACATTTAGAACGTACCACCCAGATGGTTAAGTCTTAGTAAATATCATGAATTTTGTGTCCTCACGAAATGGAAAGAATTGTTTGGGGGTTTTTTTACAACATGTCTATCGGTCTTTAGTCACAATAGAAGGACTATCGTTAACGTCTTCTGCAGGTCAAAACATATTTCACAATGACCACGTCTATTACGCTATTAATGCTCGCGTTTTCACCAAGGGTCATCATCACCAACCAAGATTAGGTGTAGTTAAAAAAGACTGGTTGTTCAACGGCTCAATGCGCTCGTCGCAATTGCAGCTTAAACTGCCACCCTCATAATTATCAGTGCAGCAATGTTAATTAGATTTATCGTCCGTGTATCATGACGTGTTTATATGCAGTAGCGTCAATATCGTAATGTCAATAATTACTTTCATAATGTTGCCTTTATGATTCTAATCTGACATATGTCCGTTCCATATGGACATAAATTCCAATCTGACATACGTCCATGCGGAACTGACATATGTCCGTTCCGAATGAACATAAACAGTCCGCGGGATCATCTCGATTTCGGGGATGACAGGATTTATTTTCCCAATCATCGGCGCATGAACATTTTACCATCTAAGGAATATGGTCCGATATTTTGATCCTCAGGGGGCAATGGGCATTATAAATTTCCATCTGGTTGATTGGTAGAATATTTTTGCTGAAAGGTTAACGAAACTAATGTTAATATGCACATGGATAAAAATAATACCATCATTTATTTATTCCGGAACTAGGCAAATATTTCTATGCTCATAACAATAACCAGAAGAACCTTCCTCTCCTAAATGTTTTGTGGGCATGTTTTTCTAGAATGTTTCATGAGTGTGTAGATGTCATCGAAAGTCATACCACAAC